GAAAGCCTTCTGCAAATCAGCCAGCCAGGAGACCCTCAGCGTCAGCCAGGGAAGGGAAAAAAGCAAAAGCATCTTGCCTGCATCACAAATTCAAATTTTTGCATTCAAGGGCTTCTCAACTTAACATCTGCTCATGAATGCGAAAGTGGCAGCCGTTATTGAGGTCACCTGGCAATGCAGGCAGACCAGCTTGGAGAAGGGCAGCTAGACATACGGTGGCTTATTAGGAGCCAAGACATCTTGGGAAGGTGGTGAGGCCAAGACACAAAGTCCAAGTGAAGAACTGTCCTTGTTGGGATGCTCCCAAGCTGAAGGCTCGCCTTCAACGAACAGTAGAAGAGGCCACTAAGAGAACAGCACGTCCTCTGTTTCTCCCTGGATCAGGGAGAACACACAATTGTGCCTGTTCATACAATGCTCTAGCCTTGTGTAGGAACCTGGGCTGGGGTTTCCGAGGGACCATGCCATATTTCATTCTGCCTGGTTTATAGCAGAGACACATAGTAGTTGCTCAACAAATGCTTGAAGCCATGAATTGAATTGTTGCAGTCCTCCCTGCCACTGATGGGCGATACTCTCCTACAAGGTTCCAGCCCAAGTTTGTCTTCATGCAGTGGAATGTTTCAAGGCTTCTCAAAACCAAATGAAGGGTAAGGAGCCATCCAGGCCACCTCTACTGTGACAAGCAAAGTCCACTAAGTTATGAATCCATTTTAGAAGCTGCCTCAAATGTTCAGAAGGCTTTGAAAAGCCTTATCATTTCTAACTTGCATAGTAAACTTATCCCTTTGTTCTCTGACTTTCATCAACAAACTAACCTGAAAGGTATAAAAGAGTTCTGGTTCTTAAGAAGAATTTTCTTAAGAACTATTTGTGCTGATAGAGAATAATCACTCTAAGTAGTAAGGTCTTTAGAAAATCACCAACAGGCAAAGATATCTGCAAAACCAGTGTTTTAGTGAAGCACGAAAAAACATCACTCTGGTGGGAAACATTTTTGGACCATGACTCTGTTGGCAAGATGAGGCAGACTCTTCCACCATTTTGCCTTCAAAAAATGTAAATGACTATTTCAATGTTTTGCTATGAACTTAAATTCTGGAGCTCTTATGAAAAATAAAGCAAGAGGCTCCAGAAATATCCCTCTTCTGAGAGGTCTTTCTTCTGTGGATTTCTTGGCTTGGCACTAGATCTGTGCCAGAATTTCATCACCATCCAGGACCATGGTATCCCAGTTTCACTGTACCTTCTGGGGGACTTTCAGGGTGGTGACTGGTTCAAAGGCAATGACCCCACTGGTACCAAACTTAAGGATTTTGACTTACTAAAACCAGGCACGGGGCCTGGGTCACCCTCCTTATGTGGGGGAAGCTTACCTAAGCTTCAACCCATGAAGTTGTCAGCCCTAGCTCTGAAACAGTGGTCGATACACCAAGAAAGAAGAGTTTGCAATCTGAGCATGAGCGCTCCTCTGCCTGGTAATGCCCCATCAGATCTTCACCTGACTGGATCCTTCTCAGCACACAGACCTCCATTTAAATGCCACCTACTCAGGAAGGCTTTACCTGACCAACCTCTCTAAAGTGGCTCTCCTCCCTGCAGTCACATTACCCTTGCTTTTTACATTTTTATTTTATTTTTCTTCTTTTTCCTTGTCTTCTTTAGTTATTTGTTTATACACACACACACACACACACACACTTTTTTTTGAGTCGGGGTCACACTCTGTCACCCCGGCTGGAATGCAGTGGCACAATCACTGCTCACTTCAACCTCAAACTTCTGGGCTCATATGATCCTTCCACCTCAGCCTCCTGAGTAGCTGAGACTACAGGTGTGCCCCACCACACTTGGCTAACTTTTTTATTTTTTGTAGAGATGAGATCTTGCTATATTGCTTAGGCTGTTCTTCAACTCCTGGGCTCAAGCAGTTTCCCATCTCGGCCTCCCAGAGTTCAAGGCTTGTAGGCACGAGCCACTGTGCCTGGCCTACATAGATAATTTTTGTGCAATTCCCTCCACATTTCCCTCCCCCCAGCCTCTGGAATATGCCTGGCATATAGTAGGTACTCAATACATGTATTATTTACCTAAGAAGCCATTAAGAACAGCATTTCTCTTAGAAGGGAGCTGCTAGAATGAACTGCATGGTACCAGGAACTCAAAGGTTTAGCATGATTTAGTACTAAAGAGAAGGGTGCTAGATATCTTTCTAGATCCTTCTTACACATCAACCAGTAAAAAAGTTCTAAGTCATAGTCTGGCTACCAGTCCATCTAGTAGAAAGAGATACAATCTTGGTATTCCCACCGAGTTAAAGCTTGGAAAAACATCGATTCTCCAAAGGAAAAAAAGAGTTGAGAATTTTATACTATAAATCATTCAGCCATAAAGCCACATATTGGCCCATTTCATTTTGGTGAGAACAAAGCAATTGTTTTCACATTCTTCCTGTCAGCACCTGCTCTGGCCTGCCCAGTATAAACACCTGAGCCAGAAAGTGTAAATGGGTTAAGGACAGTCTTTCAAACAATGAAATGAGGTAAGTGTCATCCTCTACAATTGGCAGGAAACGTTTTCAGCTAATCTAGGAAATTCAATAATAACTGTAAATGGGTAGGTACAGAAAAGCTTTGTGCCTTGTAAACACTACTGTGAAATATGAAGGCAAAGCATTAAGGCGAAACACAACAGTAATATATAATCATTATTCTTCTATTCACTGGTCTATTTATTAGAATGACGATAGCACAATACACTTCCCAACAATCTTATTTGGCTTTCTAGCTCCTTGAATTGTGTTTAAAAATTCTTTTAGGCAAGACCAAGAGCAACATAAATGAATAATGCCACACACACACACACACACACACACACACACACACACACACACACACACCATTATGTATGAAAATCTACAAGATGACGCAACTATGCTTGAGTTACAAACAAAAGGATCGACATTTTATAAAGAAGAGCCACACTGTTGAATCTATCAGGCATTCATTTTTATGGTAAAACAATTGCATTACATCCATCTAATCTTGTGATTAAGATTCAAATGGGTTCAAAATGATTAATTTGTACTGGCCTATCAAAATAGAAGACATTGTAGTTGTAATCTTTCTGATCTTTCTGAATAGCAATAGTGTTTTAATTACAAATGCCTGGCTCATTATTTGCTCAAGAGCGAATGACAATTAGCTTGATCCTATTGCAACTGTTAATGCTATTGATACTAAAATAAATAGGCAATACTGAATCAGGTTTCTGACATTTCCCCTCAGTTTACGATCTTCTGATTGAAACTATATTCAAAATGTTCTTAGTCATTTAAGTCACAGACAAGAAGGAAAATGGCTCCCAATAGCAAAAAAAAAAAAAAAAAAAGGTGTTGCAGGAAAGATGTTTCATGGCAAATCCGGAGAACAAAATCACTATGAGATGAATCACGTTCTAATAAAATTGAGCCAAAGAAAGACTCAAAGCAAAATATTTTAGTTGATTTCAAAACAATACAACAGCAACAACAACAACAATCGTCACCACCATCACCACCACCACCACCACCCCCCTTTAGTTTATAAGAGGTTTGATTTTACAGATAGTGCCATAGAATAGAATATTAGATACCCGGCTAGAATAAAGCAACTATTTACACAGTTTTGAATCTCAATGTTCTTCACATTGGAGTAAACCTCGGGAAAGTTTCAGGTTTGGCAGCATCTTCCTGCTAACACATGACAAAGATGTTTCCACAAAGGTTCAATGTACACTTATCAATGGAGGGGTAGGCTTGGGTTTGGGTCCTGCTCTACTGAGAGCCCTGAGCTTACCAATGGAGGCATCAGAGAAAACAAGAGCATAAGCATTTTCTGATTCTCATAATTTCTGAAATACCTTTTGTCTCAGGGGCGCTGGTGAACTCGTGATAATGAAACTACACCTCTGTGCACAAACCTTGACCTGCATTTTGAAGCATATGACAAAGAAAACCTTAATTTGGAAAGTACTGAGCACAAAGGAGGAAAAAAAAGCTGTCACTGTGCAAGCTTTCCCTATATGTTTAGAGATAAGGCTTAATTTTTAAGGCTAGAAAGACCGCATTTAAAAACGTCTAAAACCGGTTCAGATTCTTTATGAGAGGAAACAGAACTGTAAATTTTTCATTAAGCATTTGTTTCCCTTTTAAAGACATTCTTTTGCATATCTGTTATTGCATTTTTAAATATGATTTGGTTACCAAGGAAACAGGTCCTGGCCCAGTGTTAATTTGAGACTAAAATATATTTGAGAAGTTAAGTTCAAAGGAAAGAGCTCATGAAATTATTCTGAAAAGTGCCAGAATTTGGTACTTACAGAATCACAGCTGTATGGTCTGCAGTGAACCATTCTGGGGTATTAGTTTCATTTAGTGAAGCTCTATTTCTTCTACCAGGGCCATCTATATTTAATATTTCCTCCTTTAAAAATTGTAATTCCTCATCCCTTTAAATTATATACACACAAATAGTGTATTCTTGTATATTACCTAAAATTAATTTTGGAAGCATGTAAGTTTTTATTTTCATCTTTCATATAACACGTTTAAAGACCGCTTCTTAAAATTTAAATATTTTTAATGTTTCTTATTAAGCTTGTTTACGCTCTTTGAAATTATCTCCAGAAACCCACTTATTTTTAGTTTCAAGCTAAAATGGAGCTGAATCATCAGACTTTTCAAAAAATTCTTTTGTTGTCTAACGGCGCCACACCTATCATATGTATGATTTTTTAAAAAAAGAATCATCTCACTTTTATAGTAGAACCATTTTATAAGTTTACAAAAGCTACATACTTATATAGTAGGTGATAGCAGAGGCTATCCTATTTAATACCCTCCCCCAAAAGATTACAACTGTCTTATTTAATTTTTATTTTAAAACTCATATTTTAATGCATCTAATGTTCTTGCTGCATGACTTAAAAAAAATCTATAAAACATGCAAATTTCAACCTACCTGTATGCATCACTTAATGCAGTGTTAGCATGACAAGACACTCAGCCATTTTTACGTAAAACGATGGAGACCAACTGATTTCTCTGTCTTCTTGCTCACAAGTTTTAGATGCAATTGTCACATACACACAAAAATCATATGCAGAACAGCTTGAATGTACTGTGATCACGAGAACTGAATTTATCAACAGGAAAATAGGATTGAAAAAAGAAGTTTCTCATCCAAGGTTCCTCTGAGGCTGCAACCAAGGAGGTGGTGTGTTGAATTTTTTTCCCCTTCCTCCTCAGAGAGTTCAAAGCTCGGAGCTGACCACTGCAAAGGCCACTGTCACATTTGCTGAAAATCAAACCACTGATACCAGCACTGAAAATACAAATTTGAGAACCCAAGTTGCTTGCACACGATGCGGTGCGTAAGAGTTAAAAATAGAATCCACCTTGCCTCCTACCTGCATAATAAACATGTAAGTTTCAAGTGTTTAATTTGATATTCACATTAATTAACAATACAACATACATTATTTAAAAGATAGCAAATGCATGAAGAAAGGAGAGACACCATCTGGTAGCAGAGTTTTGTTGTTGTTGTTGTTTTTAGGGTTTTCTGGGGAGGTTTGGCTTTGTTTGAAAAAAAAAGAAAGGTAAAATTGTATTTTGAATGTGATGAAAAGCAAACATCCGGAAGCAAATGATTCGGAAATGAAAAGTGATGCTGAAATAGCTAAGGCTGTAATGAGGAAAAACAAGTCTTCGCTACCAGATGATAGGGCACACAGAGCATTTACATACTCACATCTGAAATACTAGAAAACGTGTAATGAATTCTATACACAGCATGCACACCCAGCACAAGCACGACTAATCCTGCCTGCCATCTTAGGCTCGCAGAAGCAAGATCCGCACTGCATGCAGCACACACGAGCACTGGGGAAGGAGGAGGCAAGGGACAGCTCACCTTAAACGCAGTATCTGATTAATGTTGTAAGTGACATTGCATATCAGCCTCAGAGTCTTGGTTCAACTGGGTAGGAGGGAACAAAGAAAAATGTCATCAACTGGTGATGCAAGATGAGCCCAATCACTAAACACTGTTTAGCAAACTCCAAATTCTGCAACCAGACAGAAGGCATTTCATACATTTAAGCAGAGCTGCTCCACAATGAATGTATCCTTCTGCTCCTGAGAATCAAACAATCCTTTTGCTAAGGAAGAAAATAAGCTGGAATGAATACTGTCATGTCCTCTTCCTGAAGAAAGCTTTCAATACAGTATGTATCTGGTCCGGGATGCATTTTATAGATTGTTAATTTCATAGAATTGCTAGCAAAAAAAAAAAAAAAAATCTGTTAAGCTATTGCAAAGTAAAGAATAATTCTGATAAAGGGTATAGCGTTTCTAGATTATTTTTCAGAATCCTAAACGGTGCCGGCAGGCTTGTGGAAGAATGCATGATCAGCTGTCTGTATCTGTGCTATAACCTTTAACCACAGGCAGTGTAAATGTATCCTGCTAAATGTATCTGCAGTGCAGAGCGGCAGATACCGCCTCAGACAGAATTGTATTAAAATGTGAATGGATTTTCTTTAACTTGGAAGCAGAATAAAATCAGTACAGAAAAAATAAATGGATGCTGCGTTCCTTTGGAGGTGTAGCTGACCATCATGAACGAGAAAAGCTATCCTTAGGATACTGACCTAAATAATGCTAAGACTTACAGCAGCATACTGTATTCGTTCAGAACACAGAAAGTGCATAATGATTTTTCTTCTCCCTCCCCCTCCAAAAGCTAAATTTTAAAATAACAAGTCATTAATAGGACTACCAAAAGGCTATAGATAGTACATACTGTAAGAGAAGAAATCGTATTGTGCTGAGATGCGATGTTTCTTTGTTTTACTTTGAGGCTTATTTTAGCTACGCTTGCACGATGACATTGACATGAGGAGGTCAGGGCTGACACTGGGTTGCTCTCCGTTTTATGAGTGAAATGTTTTCCGAAAATTAAATCTCATCTACTCAAACACCAAATTTCATGTCTTCTTCAATACCACCTCCCTACCCCCACTGCTCAAGATTGATGGGATCTAGTTTGGCCGTATGCAATAAATTGGAATCGCCTTCGGTAGGGACTCCAATACATAACGGTAAGAAATTCACTTTTGAAATAAAAAACCTTCAAGAATTCTTACACACCTCCTTTCATTCATTCCTACCAACACACACACACGTACACACACACACACACACACACACACACACACACACACACACACACACACAAAATCAAAGCTCAAATTGCAATGAAATGTTTAACATGTGGAACAAAAACTGTTGAAAGAGCTGCTTATTCAGGATTTTAAAGAAATGCCTAATAAGCAAATACTGTTTTGCTACAAAACCAGTGCCACCATGTCCCCAAAGAGGAAAACAGCATAGCTTGCTAGAAAAATTTCCTCCAGATACTGCCGGCAGGTAAAAAAAAAACCAACTAAAAAAAACCCAAGCAAACAGAAAAGAAGTTTATTTGCCAGGCTGTATAAAATAAGATTTCTTTTATTTTTAAGGAAATAGGACAGATTCTCTTCCACTCGATTTCCCTAACTATAAAGAAATCATACCCACCCCCACCCTTAGATCCTGGACATAAGCCAACATCTTTATAACATTCTATGAGACCGGTTTTGAAAATATAATATCTACATTTTTCTTCTTATCTCTCCAAAAGTCTTTAATTGCCCATTGCATCACCGAATATGCTAATGTTAATTAATTTCAACCCGTGCAAAAATGAATGAATATTTTCTCAGGTTGCTAGCTTTCTAGCGCCTCTACCTTCTTTAAGGTCTGGCTGAAAAAAATCAGGTTAGCAAAACATTCAAGTTCCCCAGAAATGTTTTAAAGGAGAAAATATATTCAAACACCTTAACTGAGGTACTAGGTTTCACAACAGGATCTTTTGTTTCTAGCCCTCATTCTGTCTCCTGCCCCAGAAGTGATTTTCAGCTTAACGTGTGGGAAGTGCCCTGCCCAGCTCCACCCCGTACACCTCTCAGGTCTCTGAGTCGGGTTGTCCAGACGGCGGGTCATACCTGAGCCACAGCAAGTCCTCTTGTCTTTGGAGCACGTCCCTCTCCCACAACTACTCCAGAAACAAATGTGGCTCTAACGAAAACAGTGGCTCCTGGTTTCACACCAATGGTGGAGCCATCTTCCCCACCCCCACATCACTGCTCTATGAGCTCTGGTAAGCATTGACAGCGTCAGAAAATTAGAATGGAGTGTCCTTAGGCCAATTCCTCCTTTACCATGGGGGTCGAGAATTAGAGAGATGATCACGCTGAGTTACAAGGCGCCAATTTAATATACGGTCATCTACAAAGCAGAGTCCTTCGAGTGGGGGTGGAGGAGGATACCGCGAACACCTAGGTGCTTGCTTGACGCTCTTAGTGTCTGTCGAGCTATTCCCCAATAATGCCGTTTGAAAGCTAGACGTTTATTTAGAAATACTCACAAGTTATTATCATGCAGGCTAAAACATACACGTTATGGAATCAACTCTGACCACATAGAACTAAGTCGCTGCCTCTTCTGTCGGGGATAATAAATGACAGTGACAACGACGGTAATCCATATCAGGCTCCCAGGAGATGAGTAAATAGTGTTATATCCCTTTCACAGGGAAGGGTGGCAAATGTGGCCGGGTCCCCTACTAGTACTTGTAAGCCAGATGCCAGGGTTAGCAGTTTCCAAATCTCCCTGTGGGGTTCTCCGTCCACCCTCTGTCAGATCGAGCCTAAGAGCCAGCCATGTTTCTTTTCTGCTGTTCCAAAACACTCAACGAGCAAACGTGGTCCGTGTACCACATCGGCTGGGGTTAAGCACACGTGAACTGTAGGTGAAAATGTTCACAGTGATGAACTTGTTAAGGCAGACATTCTCAACTGGTCAAGCCTGTTTTGTACTTTTAAAAAACCACGCTCATGCCTGAATTACTTAAGCTTTGCCATGATTGCAAGTGGCAAGGGTATGCATTCTCTTATGATTTTTTAAAATTGCGGGCTTCTCGTGAAACTCCTCAGGGCATATGCACAAACGTTAATTTAAAAGGCAAATCCCTTTTCCATCATGAAAATTCTAGCCTGTTTCTGCCACTTTGACGAGTCAAGCACGAGGAACCCAAAATAATCTGGCAGGAGCAGGCTAGAGAGGGACAGAGCCAGCAGCGAGGGGCGAGCCTTTCACTTTGATGAACGTTCTCACTTGCTCACGGTCTCGTTGTTTTTGCAGGCTGAGCTCATTTTATTTTCAGTCCTGTGGGTTAAAGTTAAATTGCATGGCTAATGCAAAGTACATAATTCAAGTATGAACAAAGCTCGACTCCTATGTTAAAAAAAAAAAAAAAGCATAAAGTCAGGGCACTGAGTCCCAGAGGAATACTAGGTTTATAAACATTTGGATCTGTTTGCGTGTTTCTTTATGCCATTTGCTGCATTAAAAATTGTAGCTGGATCCTTTTACATCTAAAATAGGCAGTCAACATTTGTGGGTAAATTTGTTATCAGGTTAGGCTGTTCTCATTGAAATCTGAAAAAATGAAATGTGTATCATATATAACACTTTTGTTTAAGTTCTTAGAATTTAAACAGTTTAAAAATTTGTATGAGGTTCGTTATTATATCTGCCCATGGTGTATTCAGTCCTAGAAACAACATGGTGATTGAATTTACCAATGACTAAAAATGCTTTTGGATGATATTTTAGCAAATGTTTGAGAAAGTCCAATGCTACTTAGAACACCTACGTCTTGCCTCGAGATCTGAGCAGGAACTTCTGCTTTCTACGTTAGTCAGAGCTCAAAGTCATAGCGATTACTAGTCGCACAGTAAATAGCAGAGTTAGGATTCAAGCCTAAGTCTGGTTGATTGCAAAGTCTGGGTCTTTCTACCAATCCCAAGAGGTTAAAACTTCCTCCTACACACACTCCACTCTGATATCAGTAATCTTATTGTGCAGACACCTGGTAGAGGGGCCCCTGTGTCCCTGGAGACACCTGGTAGAGGAGTTCCTGTGTTCCCTGGACCTGAACTGGCCTCCACTCTCCAGGCCCGGGGAATTGTGGGTACCTAGGATGCCACCTGTAGGAGACAGGCTGGGCCCTACAGGTGGACGAGACAGAATAAAGAGAGGGAATCAATTAGATCATGTTGGGAACTTAAGGGTAGAAAGCAGAGTAACAGTTTTAGTGGGAGAGTTATCATCATTGAAAACGTTTTATATGGAAAATAAGTAGGAAAATCTTACTTTTCCACCTGAGCAAAGACTTCACCGAGTGAAGTCCAGTGTTTCCATATTACAGATGAACAGGCTGAGAGTGATCTGGTGATTTGCCCAAGATCACACACTTAATAAGTGCATTTACTTATTGGCTATATTAAAAATGACAGCTGGTTTTCTTGTCCATCTAATATATTCAACATTTGTGAATAAAGCTGTTACCAGGTTGTTAGATTGTTCTAATCCTGATGATCAATTAAAGAAAAATCAGTGTAACAATCAAGACTGACCTACTCTCTTTTGTTTGTTTTTGTTGTTGTCGTTTTTTGAGGCTAGGGTCTCACTGTGGACTCAAACTCTGGGCTCGGGAGACCCTCCTGCCACAGCCTCCTGAGTAGCTGGGACTACGGGCACACAACAACGCATCCCTAGGATATAAGACTCATTTGTCTTCAACTCACAAATGGTCTTTTTCTCCTGAACAGATAATCTAAATAGGTGTTATGAGCTCCTTCCTCAATTTTTTTTTTAAGTTCACTCCACCCAGGCTGGAGTACGGTGGTGCAATCATGGCTTGCCATAGCCTCGATCTCCTGGGCTCAAGCAATCCTCCCATTTCAACCTCCTGAGTAGCTGCTACTACAGGTACATGCCACCACACCTGGTTAATTTTTCTTTTTTTTTTTTTTTTTGAGTTAGAGTTTCAGTTCGTTGTACAGACTGGAGTGCAGTGGCATGCTCACCACCACCCCAGGATCTACCCGTTGGGCTCAGGTGATTCTTCCACCTCAGCCTTACAAGTAGTCAGAACTATAGGTGCACGCTACCATGCCTGGGATTACAGGCTTGAGCCACCGAGATCGGCCTAATTTTTAAAAATTTTTTGTAGATATCTCATAGGTCTCACTATGTTGCCTAGGCTGCTCTCGAACTTCTGGGCTCAAACAGTCCTCCTACCTTGGCCTACCAAAGTGCTGGGATTATAGGCATGAGCCACCATGCCCGGCCCTCAACATAATTGTTTAAACGGACTTTTAAACATAATTGTTTAAACGGACTTTTAAAAAGCCTAGCTGTTGAGTACAAGATTTTTCCTCAACCAAATTTAGTATTTTAAATGCATCACTTTAATACGTGATTCTATGTTTGTAAACATCTGTTCATTTTGCCCCTGTCTAAGGTCCTTTCCAGCTTTGAAAATATGTAATTCTCAAAGATTCAGTCCAGTTTGCTTTCTAGGTCAGGTAGACCAAGAGCTGGACTCCAAGTCTCCTGCCTCCTGGTGTATGTGACCAGCTGACTATCCTGCTTCACTGGCAGTAATTG